TGCGCAACAAGTCCTAACTGAACTCGCAGCAATCAACATGCCATCATGCCAGTAAGACAAAAGTCATGCAGCCTGCAAGCCGTTGAGCAAGTACACTCCCCGGACACATGACAGAGTCTGCAGTGTGGCATTGTTAGGCTTCAGTCGCTGGGACTCTGGGATCTGGTCCTCCTGATATGCATGCAGATGAAATACTAATCGCAAACACGTTCATGCACACACACATGAAATGCATGTTTACACATCCAAGCAACACTCTCAGCGCTCTCCGTCACGCAGAGGAAACTGCAATATGCTGGCACCGCTGCACCACGCACCTCTCTTGCATCCGGCGTCAATGCGTCATGCTCCGCAAATTTCAGGACGACTGCCGTGGCAAGACTGGGGACCGCTACTGGAATGCGCTCGTAGATGGCATCTGCCATCGTCCAAACAAGGTCGCCAAGCGTCAAATCACGCAAGGCGTCCAACGCACTGTCTGAGAATGGAGTGTCGCCCTTGAGCAAGCCGAGCTTCTTCGGCACGTCCTCTGCGACGGACGCGAAGGCTGCGTGTGCTTGGGTGTCTGCGTTGTTGTTCAATGCCGCCCATTTCTTGACAGAGGCTGCGGATTGCGGTGTCATCATGAGGTTCACTGACCTAGCGCCAGGAGCCTGGCTTCCGGACGACGCAGCCTTTGCCGCTGACGCAAGTTGACCCGCAAGAAATTCTGCTACATCATTGGCGTCGCCGCTTGGCACTGACGACTTCAGCTTGATGACCGCCTTGCGGACAAGATCCTGCAGGAAGGACCTCACCTAGCAAAAGCAGAACATGTTGGGTTGCGCCGCATACCAATTTAGTGTTGCTGCCGTTGCTGCTGTTAGTTCTTGTTCATGTTATTCTTGATGCGGTTCTTGAGTGCAGCCATTTTTGTTGTTGGTGGTGGCCCGAACGGTTGTGTTGTTTGCGTAGGTTCTCGTAGTGGCTGATGCATGCTGTTGTTGATGTGGTTGTTGTTGCCGATGCTGCTGGCGTTGCTGCAACTTCCGTTGTCGTTGTTGTCTAACAAATTTTGCTGCTGTTGATGAGTTGATGTTGTTGATGATGTTGTTGTTGTTGTTGCTGTTGTTGTTGTTGTTGGCGCTGCTGTTGCTGTTGCTGTTGTTGCTGCTGCTGTTGTTGTTGTTGTTGTTGTTGTCGTCGTTGTTGTTGATGATGTTGTTGGTATTGTTGCGCCTGATGTTGCGTTTGTTACTGCCGTGTCCACGGTTGCTTCAACATCGTTAGTGCTTTCAGCAGCTAAGGCCACCTGCAGTCATGCAAGAGTGCAACAGTTCGTCTTGCTGCTGATGTTGTCGACCATACAGGTTGTTGAGCTTGTTGTTGGTATTCAGTACTTGATGCAGAAACTTGTTGTCCGCAAGTGCAACATGAGACAAACAATCATGACGAGGGAGTACATGTAGTGCACTCGCATGCCACAGCCACACAGCAACGCAGCATGAAGTCACCAGTGTACAATCACTGCGTAAGAGTACACTTGCCTGCGACCAGCATTTCCGCTGCTTGCTGGCAAGCGTGACGCTTCTCGTGAAGGCCAATTCCAGACCATGCTGCATGCACATCCTCGCCACCGCTGCCAAATGCGGGTTCATCAACTCCTGCATGCCTGAACATCGCATGAAGTCATTACATTCTCTGACGCGCTGCGTCGGCGCATGCTCAACACACACACAACATACTGCAGACAAAGGGAAATGTGCGACTGGTGACTTGCCTCCGGCAGCATGTGCAAGACAGCACAGCAAGTCATCAACCCAGCAACGTGGACGATACGCCATAGTGTCTTTGTCAACGTCAAGCGTCACCTCATCCTGCATATCTGCTTCTGTCTCGGTGACAGCTGCGGATGCAGCACCTTTGGCTGTGGCCTTCCTCTTTGGCTGGGCCCTACGTTTCTTTTGTGGTCGAAGAAGCTCATCGACGTCCACAGCCTTTGTCGAGCTTGCATTGTCCCCTGCCTTGTCAGCTGCTTTCGCTTTTCCTTTTGAAAGGACCCTCCCCACGAAGTGAGCGCCGGTGATTTCCGTCATGAGTCGGTTGACTAAGTCTGGTGAGTGCTTGCTGAAGGCAAAGCTGGCGACCTGTCCTTTTTGCGTTGCCGCAGCTGCGCTCGCGCCCGGGGCTGGGAGCGTGGCTTGTTCGCTGCTGCCTGGTGAGGACGACACCAAGGGCACCTGAAAGTTTACAGCTATCTAACACTAACCTGATGCCTGCTCCTAACTCGCCTGCAGCACAACAATGAACAACATGATTCAGCATGCATCATCAGGACAACAACCAACCAACACAGGACAACTACAAGCCACTGCATGCACACCAAGCAACCATGAGCTTGACTGCTTCCATGAACAACATGGCCAACACTGGCTTCGGATAGCTGTACTGCAACGCAAGCCAGACAATCTTGCACAGAGCATGCAGATTCTGCAGGCAGTTCAAGGAGTTAAGCTCCGCATGCGCGAAATCGGCGTGTTCGCCAAGGAAGTCCGAGAACTCCTTCAAGCAGTCGAGGCCAGTGCTGATGGCGTTGTAGACCCTTTTGGCGATATCATATTGCTGTCCGGTTTTGTATTTCGCTCCAAAGTTTTGGCGAACAAAATCGCCCGGTCAAGCCATTGTTGCTCGCATGGCGACACCAAGCCTGAACCGATACTCCCCACACTTAACATCAGTGCATAAACAACAAGGCTGTCACATGAGCAACAACAGAATCAACATCAATGGCGTAGGAGAAATCTCTTCAAGCAACTGCATCCACTTCAGGAACTCCAAGGATCATATCCAAGAAGGTGCATCCCAGTCCCTCGTGGAAGTCATTGTGGATGTCCCGCAGAAAGCTTAGTCAATTAGTCAAATGATGATCAGCTCCAATCATGGACAAGTGACACGGGCTTGCAGATGTCAGCATGCTGTATGATGCAGTGAAGCAGATGTAGTAGGATGCTGACTACACCTAGTTTGCAGTGGTTACAGCTGACAAGCGGCATACAGACACTCTCGGGCATCCTGATTGAAAAGACCCTTGCTCCGACCAAACCACGTTGAAGCGAGTTTTTGACATTGATGTTGTCAGGACGTTCTGCAGCCGCAAGACACATGGCGTCCGAACTCAGTGCGTAACATACAAACTTCAACGACAACTGGATGCAAGTGCTAGGCTACAACTTACAGGCGCAGCGACAGTGACCGACTTGATTGCTGCCATAACTTATGCCGGTGTGCAAGGTCCCAAATGTGAGCGCCAGGTATTGGCCTTGGTGGGGATCGTGGATGAGCCACGGCTCTCCCCTAACGCCTTCCACGATGCCCGAGGCAAAAATCCGGTTGACGTAGGAACGCACAACGCCCCCTGTCCGTCTGGAGTTCAGCGGATGTCTGATAATATTTCTGGTGCCGTCTGGCCGGAACCATGGGACGTTCTTTTTGTCCCCTTCCTAGTGCAGGATTTACCATAAGTCAAAAATACTACTTTGGGACTTTGGGACTTTGGGTAACGATTCGGTAACGATTACTACATCTGTCGCTCCTGGTAGATCTCGAAAACCTTGCCAAGGACAATAGATCCTTTCTCCTTCTCATCCTTCACGCCAAAACGTTCATTGAAGTCGAGGGTGTCGCCAAACAGGATTTCTTGGGCGCGCTTGTACCTCACTCATCACAACTACTAATATGTCACCTTTCACCTGAACCATCTGAAGGACTCCAGAAGTCAAGCCCCTCACGACTGTTCCTTCTCACGCGCAAGCGCAGCATCTGACCCAGGAATCAGGCTGTCGTTTGACTTGGATCGGTTGCCTGTAAACTGTAAACATCATGAGTCGTCAAGTCGTCAACTGAAAATGCAACTACCCAGACAACATGGCCATGCAAAAAGCAAGGCTACCCCGAACACCTGCCTGCTTGCCCGGACATACTGACAGAGTGGTCGGTGGGATAGCACAACTGGGAACACGCAGATTTGCAAGTAAGTTCGAAGGCTTGATCAACATGCCAGCAGCAACAACATGCAACAACAACATGCGAGCAAGCAGCATCAATGCAACATGACAGCAACATGCACAACATGATTGCAGTCAATATCAACATGCACTCGCACATGCAAATATGATTTTCCCCGGCTGGCTGATATCCCCATCTGCACAGTCTCGTACACATCACTTGTTGTTCACACCACAACATGTCAACAGCATCGTCCTGTCAGCAAGCACAAAGAACAAACAACATTGAGCAACGTGCAAAACAATCCACTATGCGTACAGCGCATGCATTCCATGCAATAATTTGCCGCTTCGCCGCTTCATGCTTCCATTCTGGTCTGTGTTACAGTGTTGCCCCGATAAGCTAGTGGATGTCTGTACAACAGCCTGGCTTCGGCTGCGCTCGAAAGAATAATCCCCAAGCGTGGCGGCATGCAGCCAAGCACAACGCACACATGTTGCAAACATGACTTATAACCCGATAAGCTGAATACTTGCCAGCATTGCACGCGCATGCCCGCCACATCGCACAACATAAAAGTTGTGGGTACCTGATTACCCGAGTCTTTGCCTCTACATCAAAGTCTTGGCCGGGTGCTACGCCCCATTACCATTGCTGCCATGCTTGCAAGCCCGGATGAGAGTGATCGCTTTGTGGTCTTCGCCTGCGCCATGTCGGCTGCCGGTGTCGCTGCCGGCGCAGGGCCCCTGCGCACAATCCCGTCCAGTCCGCGGGTAGGCGTGCTCTCGAGATCAGCGATGCTACAATTGCCGGCCGTCAGGATATAGAGCAGCACCATGCCAACGCACTCCGAGTGCATCGCGTTCCCCGCCTGCCCTATGCGGCAGGTGCGCTCGGAGTCAGCATTGATCTGGCTAAGCCCGGAATGGCTTGTGTTGTTCCAAACATCGTCCTCAAAGCCATCAAATGCGTGCAGGCAGACTGGGATGTTGGCCGTCATCGATCGCAGAACTGGAAAGCCCTGGCACAGAAGTGCCTCACGGCTAGTAAGCCAGCGAGAGTGCAGGTCCGACCTGGGATTATCTTTTGCCAAGCACTTATCAACAACATCAAGATGCTCACTAAACCATGAACAAGCTTGAGACAAACATGCACATCAAGAGCCATCATGACCTTGCCCTACACAAGCAAACATGGAACACATGTTCCGCATCAAGACACTTGCAACAACATGCAGCCAGCTGGCCATAAGACTCCTGAGTTTTTGATCAAGGTCGCCAAGTGATCATCGTTGGACACACTGCCAGTGACATCTGGATTTTGATTTAGCTGGTAGACTTGCTGGGGCGCACTGGGGATGTACTTGGCGAGAAACTCTCGCTCTGATACCGTGAGCACATTGAAGAAACTCTGTTGATCCAATGGGCTGGGTCTCTCATTGTTGTCTGTGGCATCTTCCTTCCAGCAGCTCTGTGGGCGACTGGAAGCCCAAAGCAATTCGGCCTGCAATTCTCGGGGGCCTGCTACAAAGAACACATCCCAGACCGGCCTCTTGTCTCCCCACCAATCGTCCCAGCGAGCTTGCCCCGCACCTGGCGGACGAAGGAAAAGACGGCCAAACTCGTTCAGAGGTTTGGCCATGGGACCTGTCTTCCCCTTGTGCTTCATCAACGTGTATTTTCGTTGACGTGCCACAGGCCACCCAAGGAGAGTGGGGTCAAGGACAATAACCTCAATACTGTACAAGTGGCCCATTGTCTCGACCAGTACTGAGGTTACGAAGCCTAGGACGTTCTCCTGGACGATGA